CACCTGGACAGGTCTCCAGTTCACCAGAGACACCTGGACAGGTCTCCAGTTCACCAGAGACACCTGGACAGGTCTCCAGTTCACCAGAGACACCTGTACAGGTCTCCTGTCTCCATCAGGGACACAAAAGAGACAATCAACCATCCACACTCACAGAAGAGCTCCAGAAGGTTTCAAACTGAGAACTCTGGACTCAGATCATCTGCTGCACACAGTTCTGATCACTTATTATCAATAAGAATTTGCTACGATAAATTATTAATAATTATCATGAGGAGTCCTTAACTAGGATGTAGTTAGAGAATTAAATATTCATGTATGTGTAAATTTTTTACCATAATTGCAGGTGAGTCACGTAAATTCATATTTTTCTAAAACAAGTACCTCCCCCGCCAAGACCAATTTCCTAGGGGAAACACTGCATACGTAAAGATTTTAAAAAATATGTTTTCTTATATGTATATATATAAAAAACAGAACAACACTATAAATAAAATACCCTAAACACGGCTTTAAGTGAAACTAACAGGAGAGGGTTATGTCTCAACATGTCTTCCTGAATGAATGAAAGGTATTTCCGTCTGTTTTTAAAACGAAAATTCAAAATAACACAAAATATTTTGTAAACTCATGTACAATCTCCTATTTAAGACACGAATAAAAAAAAAGCAAAACTATTAAAAAAGAACTTGCTTTGGGACCTACCATTTTTTTTTCTTTTCCACCCTCTTCAAAGCCGATGTGTCACTTTGTTATGACTCCGGACGGAAACAACAGCTTGCTGCCGGGATAAAAAAACAAAGTTCCTCTTTACAGAGTGAATTCTTCTCGATCATCTTTAAGCTTTAAGCGAATCTGTTYGTTGTTAAATAATATTATCTACCAGTTATTTTAAACCTATTACATGTTAGTCAAACCGTATAAAAGTTTTTCTTCTTTGTGTGGCGCTTGGCCGAATGAAAAATAGCAGGGTATCAGGATGTAGGTCAAACGTCCTCCAGTGTTTCATGAGGCTCTCTGTATGAGCCTGTTAAATAAACAATGTGACATATAAAGAAAGTGAAAAACAGTATTAATTTCCCAAGTATGCAGTGTAACCCCAAAAATAGCAATAGTTTATACATCAATTTCAATCTTATATACAGAAATTAATCTTTATGGTTGAGCATCATTATTGCTCATTCAGTGACATTTATTTTCATCATTTTAATGCACAATCCTCCTACAGACTTACTTAACAAAACCTATGATCAAGTAAATTTTTAATTATTTTAACAAAAATAAACTGGATTTATTCTAATCCATTGTGTTGCTGTTTAATTATCACCATGTTGAGTTTGGTGTAAGGTGCTATTAATAAAACATCAATATGCAAAATGTGTTTTATTAGGAGATCTCAATAAATCTTCAACTCCGTTCTTCCTCCTGTCCTGAACAAGATCAGGGCAGAATTTGTGTTGCATTAGTGACTATTTTTTATTTCAAGCAAGCTTAAACTTAGGTTCGAAAGTGTAAAATTGCAAAGTGATTTGTCTTTGTGAAAAGATCTTAAAAATAATCATCTCATACTGCAGGTACAAATGAAATATAAACACTTCATTTCATATTTTGGTAACTTTTTTAATTATTTTGCATTCTGTAGATTCACAATAAATAATGTGGAATACAGATTCAGTCATCAACCACATCAATTCTTCCTTTACTAAATAAGGTTGTCGGTAAATACTTTTAAAAAATCAAACATGCTCCAACATTTGATTAATGTGTTTTATAATTAGAAGATCTATTTAATCAAATCACTGCTCAGTCAGTTTCAGACGTCAAAGTGCCGGAGTTTTTTTTTTTTTAAGTATACAAAGAAAAAAACACATTTAGGGAACATAAAAATATAATTGTGTAGAAACTTCCAAAGGTTCTTTAATACAAAAAATAGATAATTAGACAACATAACAACACAAGTAGTTTCAGGTCACACACAACACTTTAGCTGGAGATTTTAACACAACAAGGAAAGAAAAACAGCTTTAAAACAGATGGATAAACCAGCTCGTGCTCATATAAGTGCTTCTCAAGTGCTCAGAGTTTCAAAAAACAACACATTTGTGTTCTGGCTGTTCTCAACTTGACTCAATGTGTTTGAAATCATTTTAGAAATATCCGGAATAAAGCAGGTGTTCAAACGTATTTGTTTTAAAAAAGATAGCAGCACAACGGTTTCAACTAAACCAAAGGCCATAATTACAATTATAAGCACCAGTTATTAGATTATGTAGGTAGGCAGAATTTTCCCAGAGAGCCTTAAAAACAGTTGTTTTAAACACATCGCACCCTCTGCGCTGACTCACCGAGGTACTGAATGAGCGYGAAACTAAAGTTAGACTTTTAGTCAAGTTGTTAAAATTGCTTTAAGATGCAGAAAATAGATGCACAGCCTGTTCGAGAGGCAGAAAAGTGTTTTGGTCGATGTGGTGCAGATGATCGCCGCAGAACGAGATGAACTCACAAACTTTAGGCGGCAGCTGCAGCAGAGGTTGCGGGACAGATGCCCATCCAGCTTCAGCGACGAGCTCAGAAGGATTACGATGACGAAACAAAAGTGTGAGTGTTGCTTTTATAGCTGATGTCGTTGCACAAATGACGTAAATATTTTAGGTAGGATATTTACAGAGAAGTGAAACTTGGTTTGGTGAAGAGCACCATCAGCATGGCCGTGCAAGTCGAGACTAATGTGTTCAGAAAGGTAACCAATGGTGCAAAAAAAATTACTTAAATATAAAACTGGTCTTTAACAACCATTCATGCTCACAGTTCAATAATATTTATGTTTGTAGAAATAGTTCATTGCCTAAAGACAGTTAGGGCAGTGTTTCTTGAGTCTTACTTTGMAGCTTTTACACATCTTCTACTGTAGCTTTCAGGCAAGAAGAAGGTTCTTTCTTTAAAGATTTAAGTCAATAACCGGACCAACAGAACATCTTCAAAGCCAGAAAACAACCTTTAAACCTTGAGGTGCATCACTTGAAACTCAATGAAATCATTTGAAGTCAACATAAAAAATATGTGCCATCGTTTCAAACCGACGACGTCTGGGCAAAGTCACCGGGGGCCTTGCTCTGCAGAGTGCTAGACACAGTGTCTGAGTCGAGCAGCTCCACGATGCTGTAGGGGGAGCAGTCCTCCAGGCCCAGCTTCCCGCAGGCCCAGCCGCAGAAGCCTTTCTCCAGGTCTCGCACCGCCTGCCACCACTCGCTGAAGGCCCAGGACACCTGCACCACGGCCGAGTACAGAGCCAGCGACAGCGCCAAGGGCATGATGAGCACGGGGTAGAAGACGATGAGGAAGGGGCAAACRGTGATCTTGTGCCAAAACGTCCGCTCCTCGTTGTACACCAGGAAGACGTTGTACCAGGTGAGCGTGCCGTAGTAGAAGGAGGTGATRAAGGAGAGGAGGAAAACCACGGGAGCGCAGGACAGGCTCCACAGGACAACGTGGGGTCCCTGRCACACCCCGAAGGTGCAGGAGCGTCTGGAGCCCTCTCCCGCCTCGCACTCGGCGTTGAGACGCTCCTTGGACTTGGCCAACTCCCTCAGTTCCTTTTCCGTCAAGGTGACGTGTATGTCCACCACCTGGCCCTTCTTCTTCCCACGCGTGATGGTGCCTGTCAGGGTCACGTAGCGGCTGTCTGGAGGAATATTCCAGCCTCCTCCTGTGCAACGATTAAATCATGCGAGTCTTTCACAAAGGGTCAATTTAATATTAAACTAACACTAAACAACACGCCAGGCCTCTCACCTTCGCCTGTAGGCGTGCAGAGGAACTTTGCTCCCTCCTCAGTGCTCCTCTCTCCTCCGTCCTCACCGCTCTGCTCCTCTCCGGGCGCTCGCTCCACCTCAGAGCGGTACACGATGATGGAGTCCGGACGTGGCTCTTTCTTTTTCTTCCTCTTCCTCCTCATGGAGGGTCCGGCCTCTCCGTCATCTGCGTGGCTCGCTGATGCGTCTGATCTCAAGGAGACCATCTGAGGGCTGCTTTCCCCCTCCGTTTGAGCCTCCTCCACCTGTGCCATGACCTCTCTCTGACAGGTGAACTCTGGCTGTCAGGAGACTTGTGCTCAAATAATAAGCAGCTGATTGCAAGGTAACACACAAACAAGAGAAAAGGGGGGAATTAGGAAAAGCTGGTTTGTTTGTTTTTAAATGTTTTAGTGTTTAGTCATCCTGGCCATATTTTTCCTTTTATTTTTGCATGTGCCGGTGCTGACTACGTCCAGGAAATGTCACTTATCTGAATGAATGGAGGAAAATGGAAGACAAATAATGCACGAGAGCTTTGTTCGGGTTATGTGTGTCTCTTTGCATGTCAGCACTCATTGTTCAAGTGCTGCAAACTCCAAAATAAATAAATAAATAAATAAATAAAATCCCATCATCCTAACCTATTAACGGAATAAAAACAACCACAGACGAGCGGATCCATCAGAATGCACAGGAAAAGGGTGAAACAGACAAAAGCGAGCCTTCATACATCTGATCCCCTCCCATTTAAATCCCACCCATGTCCGCTCTTTTGTCTGCTAAACGCCAGCCGGCGAACATGAAATGCTACTTGAATGCTTTCCCCCCAACAAAATAAAATGTTACCTTTAAAACAAAAGACCTGAGAGGATCCGAACGGTGTGGGAATAAACCACCGGGTCTATCTGACACATCGCAGGAACAACACACGCATCACAACGTTGTGTTTTTGACCATACAGATGCGCTACGCAATTCACGCAAAATGCTTTCTAGAATAGCACTAATCCCGCCTTTACGTAAATTTATTACGTCAATCCCCATTCCAGAGCAGAAATGATGGAAAAGCTCATTAAAATGTACAGATTTTACGYAAATATACAAAATATTATGGTAAAGCTGCAGAATATCGCCTTAGCATAAATGTTTTATCGTCTTCTCCAAGGCTGATAGGTTTTTTTGACAACTCAACATTCGTCAAAAACGACAATGTCATCACAAAATATATTTTCAATACAATTTCCACATCTAAAAATGTGTTTATTATAATTTTCAAATGCTACAATTCCTGCAGAAATTCATAGTGATTTATAGCTACGTCATCGTCCTGCGTCACAACGCTTGATAACAGTCACGTGATCAGATAAGAGCAAATTAGCTAGTGTACCCATTACAGTTGAGTTTTGTTAACAAACTTTATAGTATTTTTGGATAGTTTCTGTATTAATAATTGAATATTATAATCTTTGGCATATATTTTAGTTTATTAAAAATATATTTTGTTTAATTTAAAGAAAATGTTTTTTCCCCCCAACTCTGCGCATTTTTAAATTAGCTTATTAGCTAACAAGCTAACGGTAAAAATGAATGAGGAGCCATATTTAACTGATAATATCAACAGACTCCTTTTTCAGTTGGGTAAGTTTATTATATATGCCCTAATTAGTTTGCTAGCTACTGACAAATTACACATTTCCGAGCTCTTGGCTTTTGAGTTTTACCTGCTGTTGTTGTTGTAGCTCTAGAAACTCGGGAGCTGTCTCAAAAGAAGAATGATATAAACCAGCAAATAAAAGGTACATCGTAATATTACTGTGTTAGCCATTTACCAAAAACAGCATTTGGAAATGGAGTCAAGCTTAATGTCTTACTATAATCATCACTGATGTCATTTATTTAAAAAAATATGTAATTGTTTGTTTTTTTCTCTCTCTCTTTTTAAAGTCTTGGTTTTAAGTGGGAAAGAATCACGTAACATTTCTAAACAAACAACAAAACAGTCAATAAATCTAAGACTTTCCGCTTGAATGTAAACAAACCCCTGCATCTACTGTTTACAGTTTCCTGCCTTTGTTTTCTTCAGCATAGACTGTTTGGACACAAATGTGCAAAAGACTCATGTCCTTCAAATGGTCACAATGAGCTAACTGAAAGAAACACATCACTAAACATTTGTTAGAAACACTAAGAACAAATTAAAATTACTTTACATTTCTTCCATTATATGTTCCTTCTATATAGTATAACATTTTTAGTTATATTTTTTCTCATCGAGCCCCTTGACTTTATGGCCTGTTCAGTAATTTTCTCTTGCTGAAATGATTGATCGGTTTCCTGTAAGTGTTATAAGTGGTTTTATCAACAGGCTGCAGAGATRACATTGCAGAAAATAAGTCCTCCATTGGAGCCATCCAAGAAAATCTCAAGAAACTTGAAGAACAAGCTGGTGTGGCGCAGAGCACTGTGAAGAAAAATAAAGAAAATGCAAAAACGTAATGTCAAAATGGCCTACATTAAACCTTGATAGATCAGTCAGTCACAATCACATTTTAAATATGAGTTATAATAAGTGGACTGACTTTCTAATACTCTTTGTAACCCATTAAACTCCAGAATGAAGGTGACCAACAAGCTGCTCTTTCAGTACGAACAGACGTTGAAAACAGAACTGGAAAGTAGAAAAGCCAACTACAACAACGACCTGTAAGTTCATCAGCACTTTGATTTATGACTAAAGAACATTTTCTGTGACTTTTATTTAGATAGACTATTTGTTTATATGTAAACCAACAAGGGAGGTCTTTGAAGAGAGGATTTCAAGCAATAGAAAAACACTGCAGTCACACAAAGATTATTATCACCAAAATCCTCTGGCTCAAAAGCTACTCGCTCGGCAGTCTGAAAAAGAAAAGATTGAAGATCGTATTAAGGCCTGGGACGATCAAATAATGACCAAACAGAAGGAGCTGGAACATCTCACTGGTAATAAACTGTTTTACTTCATTATCTGAGATATTTATAGGTATTTAAAAAGTTAATTTAGTTTGTGTCTGAACAGATTCAACAGTGAGTTCCTTCTCCACTGAGGAACTACCAGACAGGTGAATCTTCTGGTGAAAAATCCTTACATATGTATTCAGTATTTTACTGATCGAGTTAATTTTTGTGCGCAGTGCTTTTGGTGAGCAACCCACAATGGAACAAGGAGAAGAACTGGAGCATCAGGCAAACAAGGACAGTGTCTCCTCCATCATTGACATCTCTTCTATTCGTCTCGACCAGACGGCTGTAATCAGATACAGATTTTTGGCATTTTTAAACACAATTTAAGCAGATGTGCCATAAAAGGTAAAATTGTTTCTGTGGTATCAATTTAATCTTACAGAATGAGGATGAAACATCTGGAAATACAACCGCTGAGGAGATACATGAGCAAAACAACGCACAGGATCCACCCGCCTGTTTTGCTTCTCCTGAAAAAGCTAATGAGAAAATTTGGTCCTATCATCAGGTAAAATTCATYTTTCTTAAATAATTAAAAAGTTTTTTTATGATATTTTGATTCCATCAGAAGACTTTAGGAAAACTGCACATAAAAAGTTTAAGTTATGTTGCACATTTTATATCATATATATTTTTTATTTTATAACTACCTCATGGACATTTTACAACCTTTACACTACAAACGATATTTCTCTGCAATATTTTATAACTACTGCACAGAAGGCACACTTTTCTCCTTTAAATTTTTTAATTTCAAGTATTTCGTCTGTTGTTTTTTTATACTCGACTGGCCTTGAATTTGATTGTTTTTGCGCCGTGTGCATCCCTGCATTTCAATTTATTGTTTCAAATTTAAACTTAATTTTTTGGCGTTTGTGTGTGCAGATTTGCTGCAGCAAACATTTCTCTCCGATTTGTACTGTGTATTACTATGTACGTGACAAATTTGATTTGTTGTGATTTTTTTTATTTTTCTTTCAAAGCAAAGTCATTCAGATGAAATGCACTCTGGAGCACAGGATGAAACTTTGAAAGAGGACCAGGTTTTTATAATTCTCCTTATAATGCCTTACGTTGGTTCAAGGAACACTTAATCATAAATCTTTATCATCATTATAGTTGACCCAATTTAACCAGGATTGTTCTTTTCCAATGTCTGCCTTGGTGTAGTTTAGAAGAACTTATTTTGAACAAGACATCTACAGTATTAATATATTCTTAAGGGAGCTACTGCACTGACTTCATTATCCAGGCTTACAGTATCTCAGCAGTGAATATTTACTTAAAACCCTTAAAACACAGCAGGGCAATGTTTTAAAATTTATGAGGTAATAAGTTTTAAACAAAAAAAACGTAATAATACTATTTTTATTTTACTTTTCTATCCTGGTAGTAACTACTAATTGCAGAATAAATTAGATTAGTCAGATTAGTGTGTATCAGAGATGTCCTTGTTAGTTATTTATTAAGAGGACATTTTTCTCCCTGGCCTCTGTAATTAATTACATTTTATCTTTGGAGAGACGCCGTGAATTAAATTCTCATTTTTATACTCCTTTGTGAAACTCATTGTTAAAAGACCCGTTAACTCTCTGCCTGTCAGCGATGACTTTACACGTTTGTATTTTTGTTTTGTTCCCAGGAGCAGCAGCTGAGTGGATCAGGGGCAGACGATGTTCCTGAGGATGAGATGGGAGCAGAGGATGAGAGCAGAGGACCCACAGAAGAAAAGGCATCAGCTGAAGAGGACCGCCAGGAAACATTTCAAGATGTCACCCCTCAACCTTTCTTGGAGAAAACGACTGTGCTTTCAACCCCAGCATTTCAGTTCAAGTACGTTTTATGTTTTTTTTTTTTTGACATTTTTTAACCTCACAGGAGCATCTGACTGACGGTTCTTCCTGTGTTGACTTTAGCTTCAGCCCCAGCAGCTCTCCACATCAAGGCACCTCTGACACCAAGTCACCAGCTTTCATGTTCTCCCTGAATTCCAACGTAAGCTCATCGTCCTTTTCTGGATTTGGATTTGATATGGGCTCATCGCAGGAAGAGGTGAGTCGATAAGCAAAGAATCAATTAAATACAACCAGTCTTTGTTTTGGCGTCAACTCTGAATGTTGTTGCAGGACTCGTCTTTCACTTTCACAGATTCCATTTTCTCTGAGAAGGTGATGTTTTTTTTTTTTACGTTTTATTTATGTTTTTTGTCTAAGTGTACTGTTTTGATCATATATTTTTACACTATGTTTTATTTTTTTACAGAAAGCTGTAGAGGCAAAACCTTCAAGCGGTAAATATTTAATTAGTTTGTTTTTGCGATGATTTACATTTGTTTAACTCAGGTATCTGAATTTTCAGGTCCTGAATTCCTTTTTAACGAACCGGAGCAAAGTGAAGGTTTCCAGTTTGCCTTCAACACCACAAATCCTCAGTCAGCCAGCAAACAAAATGAGGATGAGTTTCCATTTTCATTCAACTTCTAAGAAAAATGTGCGTTTAGTTTTTTTTCCCCTCATAAGTCTCTTGTGTTCGTTACGTTGACTAATAGATCCGGTTTGGTCTTGGTCAAACACTTTGAGCAAATCACACAACAAAATGTTTGTAATATCGTCATAACATTTATTGAAGTTATAGCATCAATATCCATCTTAATACGTAACAGCAGTTCATAGACCTTTATAGATTTCTCTCTCAAGTACAGCAGCTGTGGCATTTACAACTTTTTACATGGTAATAAATTGTCTGTTTAAACTTGTTGGTTTGAAAAAGTGGCAGAAGCATTGTTTCAGTCTAAAAAAATACAAAAAAAAAATGGTTTCTTGAATCCCACTGTCACAGTATACAAAACACTGAACTAATACACACATTTACTGTAATATGTTAAACATGATTKGGAACCTTTTAATGAAGGCACCTGACTGTTTTATGGCTCAGCATTGGTCCATTTCTTTATSTAGGATTTTAAAAATAACAACGTAAATCATATTTTGTATGCAGTATTGTAAGATTTTATAAAACGTTAGGTTTGTGGCACACCTGGTTGTATGTAGCAGCAGTTTGATAGCACCTTGGAGTTAGTAGAAAACATCTCTGTATTTAAACTGTCASTTAATAAATGAATACTTGGATTACACTTTAATGTGTCTTGATTAACTGAGTTGTTACACTGACAAAGACCCTGCATTTGGAAAAGAGCTTAACGTGAGGTATACCCTACCTTCAGTCAAAGGCAGGGTCTTTCAGTTTTAGAGGCAAAACAGGTGCAGTATATCAAACAAGGAATTCACCCTTTGACATCTGTTTGTGTCGGCAAACTTAAAAAAAATATCCTAAATAAGTTCTAGAGTCCAGAATTCAGCTAAATGAGCTCAGATGCAGGTATAYGTTTCAGAACGAAGCAGATTTACATGCAAGCAGAGACTACTTTAGTTCAAAACCCACAGGATATGGTTTGGAGGGAGAACACTTAAACAACACATTCCTGAGTTACGACATCGTTACAGAAAGGGGAAGGAGAGATAAGGGTTGAACAGCATACAGCTCTGTGGTTTGATACAGCCTAGTATCCTGCATCAATGCTGAGGGAGCGTCGGGTCACGTGTGCGATCTCTCCAGGGACGTATTCGCAGAAGTTGGTCTGGTACCGGGCCAACATTTTCAGCATCGGCCGCAAATTGGACCACCACTGAACCGTGGGCATTCGATGCCTGAAAATTTCAGATCAGTGATTATCCTGTAGTGATTGAACCCCCGTCCATAAAAAAAAAAAAAAAAAAAGACACTCTTGTTTGCATCACTTACTCAAAGTCTGTGATAGCCTTCAGGTCGGTGACAGGGATGAACGAGACAACTTTCCTGTTGAGGCCGAGCACACACGCCGTTTCTGGTGAGTTTGCAAACACACGGCCTAAAGGGAGAAAGAAAACTGGGTTGTCAGCAAACCTAAGATGTTTGATTTGGGTTTGTGTTTTTTAGGAGTGAACCTTGTCTGAAGTTTTCCTTCAAGCTCTCCGAAATCCACTGTGTGGCCTTCACACCTAACTTGGTACCAAAATTTCTATCAAAGGGAGTCGGAGCGCCTCCCTACAACACAAACACACACACTGATTATGCTCAAATAAAATCTCTGTTGTTGCCATTAGGCAGGAAAGAAGTGTTTTGGAAACTGTACCTGCTGGAGGTGTCCCAACACATTGACTCTGCAATCAAAGACACCCTTCCCCTCCTCTGAATAAAGCCTGTAAATGAAGTCTGTCGAATAGTTCTGATGGCAGTATTCATTCCTGTTATGAAAAGGAAAATCGTCAACAACAGTCTAAGATTATTAAATAAGTCCCTCTTTCTATAAAATGTAATAAATCTCTGTCCAGTCCTGTTCCATTTGACAAAATGTAGATTAAATATTTGTGACCCATCACATCGTAATGAGGACCAAGTCTAAAAGTGGAATGTGGAGAAATAGGCAAATAGCGTTTTGATTAAAATATTTTCAAAAATTGCATTTTGTCAAAACATAATGAATAAATACCGAATGAAATGTATGAAATATAATCATGAAACAAAATTTTGAAGCATGTTTTTGGGCAGTAGCAACAAAAACCTGATTTTGAGGAAAAATGCCTTAAAATTTTGAGATTTTCCCTGTGAACTAGAAATGTTTTTGTTTCTTTCTAGCTAAAAAATCTCAATATTCAAATACTATCTGAAGTTTTTTCTATATATTGACATTAAAAATTCCTCCTTAAAATTACATAAAATTAGAATTCAGACCAAATATTCTTGTATTATTGTAACCAACAAGATAAATTAAGTCATATCTCTGGATCCAGGTATCAAAATGTAGCTTTTAAAGCCAGGAATCTGAAAATGTAGTTAGGTCATTTTGACCAAATTTGACTTAATCCTCATTTCGATATGATGGGTCACATTTAGTTTTATTTGTGCTTTTTTTTAACCTACAAAAAAGGTAGTTATTTAGCATATTAACAAAAAGACCCTGGGATAAACCTGTTTATCATGTCAGTCCACTGATAAATATCTCAAAACCAAATGATAAAGTACAACTTCAAATGTCCTGGTTACACCCAGTTGTGAACACAAGACAACAGCTGACAGTACAGAGACTTGCAYCTAGAGTGGATAATAATGCTGTGTGTACTGAGGCCCTCAGATAACATCCTGTTGCAATAATCCTAATTTAATTCTAAACCAGTTTGTGCAGAAATGCCTGAAAACCCATCCACATCACTATAAAGTGTGCTTGAAACTGCTTAAACTGCATTTTTGTGTCCTTTTTTAAGTAAAACAACAAATTCTTTCCAGCTGACACTTTTACTGACCATTCAGACAAGTTTTAAAACAAAAGACGGCTCTGCTTTAATTATTTGCACCAGGGTTTACACACCTTAAGACTAGACCTCTCTGAATGTCCTTCTTCATCTTTTCAGCCAAATGCTCCACATTGGTCTGTGGACAGGACACGTTAGGAGACGAGCATTACAAACTAAAAAAAGGAAACATGGCTTTTTTTTAATTTTCATTTCTTTTTGGTCTCACCTTGAGGTCCTGAATGTTGAACGGCTCTTCAAAGATGTAAGCAGCATCAGCGCCCACAGCTATACCAGTGCAGGTTGCCAGATAACCACAGTAGCCACCCATGGTCTCCACCACAAACACTCGTCTCTTGGTGCCAGAGGCAGACTGCTTGATCTTATCGCATCCCTGATAACGAGCAGAGTTTATAAAACAAACTTCCTGATTATACAAGTGTTTGTGTCGACATAAAAAAAGGCAAAACACTGAGCAGATATGTGATCATGTATGGAAACAGATCAGTTTGCACAAAGTGCACAGTTTGCTCATTACCTCCATGGCCGCRTTGACAGCAGTGTCTGCGCCCAGACTGAAGTCAGTTCCCGGGACGTTGTTGCTGATGGTGGCTGGGACAACACACATGGGGATGCAGAGCTCATCATAGTGGCCGCGGGCTTCATACAGCTGCAGGACTCCTTCATATCCCTGTCAGAGTGGCAGACAGATGAACTGCTGACACCGCAAATAATTCTACTCTGAGTTTGGGGGTACGAAGGCTTGTCACGGCGTACCTCAAATCCTCCGATAACGAGCAGAGCTGAGATGTTGTACTTGCTGATGTTTTCTACGATCTTCTCCATGTTTGTCGCAGGACGAGTTCTGAAGAATGGCAGGAAGATAGCATCATTCCTTTTCTAACATTTCCAAAGTTGGATAGACTTGGCCAATTTTTTAAAGTCTATCTTGCAACACCTTAAATGAGTTTACATTAAAGTGCCTGTGATGCATATTCTTCAAATACAAAAAAGTCAAAGAAAACATCTTTATATTTAAGAAGTTGGAATAATACACACAATTTAACCCCTTTTGTCCCATAACTGGCATATTTTCTTTTGAACTTGGTTCAGCCAAAGTGAAACAGGAAGTGACATCAAAGGGGAACTCTTAAACAAAGAAAACTCTCTGCTCTTTGTTTATTGAAATAATATTATTTGACTCTGACTTTTCAWCTCTGATAGTGACTCAAAATAATCTAAAGAAACAGATTCTTCTCTACAGTCTGGGTTGTTGGCTGTTGTAGCAACACTGTTTACATGCAGACATTCCCCTTTGACATCACTTCCTGTTACTTCACAGGCAAATATCTCAACTGTTCATCTCAGCGACATGAAATTTCTTTTCCAATATCTTATCAATGTCCTCTTTCTAAAAACATGCATTTGTGTGTATAACAAAAAATTGACGTCACAGGCACTTTAAGGAATTAGAAATTAGTCGTCCTTACCGTTTTGTCCCYAGCAGTGAGCCGCCCTGGCCCGTCCACCCAGCCACATTGTGCCATTTCATCTCAAATATCTAAACAGAAATACAAACGGTTKTCTCTCATGTTCCTACATGTTAATATGCTAAACTTCCTATATAAGCGATGAAAACCAAGCCTCACCGCATCATTGGCAAGCCCTTCRAAGCCATCGTGGACCCCGTAGACCTTATGTCCGTGAGCAAGCAGTACTCTGGTGGCTGACCTCACGGCTGCATTCATCCCTCCTGCTGGAGCTCCCACATTCAGAATAGCCACGGAGAAATTGCTCTGAAAAAGGGAACAAGAGCCAGACATGTTACATTCTGTGACTCTTACACATTTTAGAATAAAAGCGGTGATAAACGTGCCTCGGTCTGGGCCAGCCTCGGGAAAGCAAGAAGTTTGTAGATGTTCCAGTTGTTCTCAAAGCTCCTGCAGGGATCGTAGGAACGTTTTATTTGCATGTATGTGCACTGAGATGAAAGTCTCGAGTCTCAGCTCTTACCCTCCACGCAGTTTAATGGCCTCATCGAACCGCCCCTCGCTCATGGCCTTCTGCACCAGCTTAGTCTGCAAATGATGGAGCAGAGTCAACGACCATCCCCCTCCCTCCACCACCTCGTGCGCTCATTAAAAACCCGATCGAACAGGGAGGGGAGGGGGACTCACCATATCCACACACTCCATGAGAGGCAGGCGGACTGCTTGGTTCCCCGACAGGCCRATGACACAGGCCGGGGTCTCCGGAGTCGCCTCCAACAGGGCAACAACAGCCTCCACTCCCAGCTTACTGCTCTGAAAACGTGCCGACATAAAAACAGAATGAAGCAAGGTCTGTTCAGGTCTTTCCACCGTGGTCACCGTGAAAGCCAATCTGATCATTTATGATGTTTGGTGTGGCAACGGTCAGAACCATATTTTATATGATTAAGTTTGGCCATATTCCACCGGCCCTGGGAGCTCATAAACTGAGGGTTGCAAGTGTTTTATACATGGCGCAGTGAAGCGACAAGTTCACTGAGCTATAAATAGGGGAGAGCAAACAAATGGTCCAGTGTAGCTGAACTTAATCGACAGAGCTTTGGGGCAAAATAAAAAAAAAGGCAGATGAACCAAAGACAGTTTGAGTAGATAAAAACTGGACTTGGACACAATTAGTGAACTACTTTCACCTTTATGCAACCCTGCCTGCAMACATCGCGATGCCACACTGCTAAAACACAACACGTTAAATACCYGAGAGCCTTCGTTTGGTCAGATCTGATCAAACATCTTCAAGAACCAAAGATGTTTCCCCTTTTCACAGTGATCAAAATGGACCAAATTTGAATGAGACAGGTATATATATAATAATAACAACTCACCAGTATTCTGTCAAACGCAGATGGAAGGCCTCCCCGCTGGACGTGGCCGAGCACAGTCACTCTGGTGTCGTAGCCCATCCTTTTTATCACCAGCTGCAAACAAAGAACGCATCAATTTGTACTACGAGTTCAACTACACTCTAATTTTAATAAAATCGTACTTGACGTTTAAAAATAAACAAAGATAAGCGGCTTGTGTAACTACAGGTGTCACATTACACTGGCACAGATCTAATTAAAAAGCACAAACATAATATAAAACGATAAAACTCACATCTTTTATGTAATCTGAAGAGATGGGTTTGCCATGTGAATCTATGGCTCCCTCTGCAACTATTATAATGTTCAGTCTTGACCCCTTCGTGCGGCTCTGAAAGTCGACAAAAACACATTTTAGTTACATTAATTAGGACAAACTATTTACATGTCTACTTAAAATAGATTAAATATATCGCCACAGTGGTTTTTATTTATTTATTTATTTTTAATGAACGTGTCCTACCCTTTCAAGACGTGCGCACATGTGATCCTCCCAGCCCTCCACCGGAGGAGACTCTGGGATGAAAAGCCAGTCTGCTCCAGATGCCAGCGCTGACACCAAGGCCAGATATCTTCAGCAACAACAAAATAACATTAATGTCCTTTATTTATTAGTAGTGTATGAAGAACGGTAGGCAGGGTTCATTTCAGCAAGTTAAATTTAAGACCTTTAAGTCTTTTTAAGACCATTACGACTGACATTTAAGACCAAACCGACGCATAAACAGAAACATTCAAATGGTCCCAGAAATTTAAAAAACATAAAAACATTTTATTGCTATCACTTTAGCTATTAAAGAATATTTCATTTTAATACAAGAACACTAAATTATTTTAACGAAACGGTCATATCGATGAGACCTTCATATTGACTGCTGTGGACCGCTTCCAACAGAGTGTAAAAATCACGGATATGAAGCCGAGTCTCATTGGAAACACACTTTCCCATGTTCAAACGACAAGCAGTGGACATGCCTGAAATCTTTGTTTTTTGGGTGGGTGAACAAGTYGCCGTAYGCGGGGTGCTGTAGCGGCAAAAAGGTCCAAAACATGGAAGTAAACGGTGCCATTTTTTTGCCTGCAGTTATCACAGGATTTGTAGTTTAGTCGCGTACCAAGACCGGTAACAAACTTAGCACTTCAAAGTCTGATTACGGCACATTAATCTGTTTATTTATGCAGCAAACGCTTCTCRGGAATGTTGACAAAATTAAATTTAARACCTTGGATGAAAATCTGGGTGTTTTWAAGACTTTTTTTAGGCCTAAAATTTTGATTTTCAAATTTGAGWCTTTAGRCTTTTTAAGGTCCTGCATGAACCCTGGGCAGGGAAATGAGAAAAGGGTTGCTCACCCACAGTGGCGGCCCATGACTTCAAGAACAAACGTGCGCTGGTGGCTGTAGGAAAGAGTGAAACAGATAGTTTGTAATTACGCACAATTTCCAACCAAACTGTGACAAACCATTCGTCTACACAAAGAGACAGATCACTAATACGATGAACATTAGCAGCAGATGATCAGATTTAGGAAGCAGGAAGCAAAGAATATTAAATTCCCTGTTGCTCAACCAGTAACAGCAGTTCCACAATCAAGTTCATTAAGAAATATTTAATAACTTCACTATATTGAGCCTCACCTCTGAGCCGTGGTCATGATGGCATCAATGATCTCCATGATGCGATGCAGAGCAGAGTCGGCCCCGATGGTCATGTCGGTGCCACAGAAGTCGTTGTCTATGGAGCCCACGAGCCCGACGATGTTCAGGTGGCTGTGCTGCTTGGCCAGCGTGTCTGTGATCCTTCCTGAACACACACACACACACATGCATGAACTCAAATTAACTTCACYCCGTGTGTTCAATTCGGACTGTTAGACAATGAGCAGTTTTACCTTTCTGCACGAGCTCGTCCAGCAGGCCGCTCCACTCGCTGCGGAAGGTGTTGGCTCCGGTGAGGCTGCCGTCGCCGCCGCACACGCACAGGTTGGTGATGCCTTTCTTCACCAGGTTGAAGGCGGCGGAAATCCTACCCTCGCGGGTCGTGAAGGCCTTGCAGCGGGCGCTACCGATCACCGTCCCGCCCTGCAGCAGAAACGTCAAGGAAAAAAAAAAAAACAGGATGATGCAGCGGTGCTTCCTAAGTTTGGACTCATGACTCAAAAAAAAATAGGAAACCAGAAAGACGTAAGGCTTTATAAATAACCACTTCAACACTACAGAGTTGCAAAATGAGAGTGCATGGGTAATCAAATTCAAATAGCTAATAAATAAACTTGAATTAGGCGACAAAACGTTTGCTTAACAAGAGTTTATGGTGCGACTAATAACACTGATGTTTGCCCATGTCCACCGAGTCTGCTGTGAGAATGGCCTTTTATTACCGTAATATATTCCAACCTACCAGCTGAATAATGTTGCTCACACTTTGCCAGTGGGCTAACGTGATGTTGTCTCCACCATCAACCAAACCCTGGTACCCCTGAAAGAAACGGTCACAGGAAGAACGTGATGCATCGCAGCTGAACAGAAGCTGGCTGTGTGTCATAAAGGTGCGTGTACCTCATGGATGAGATAGACCTTGGCCCCCACRTAAATCCCCATCCTGGCCACAGCTCGGACGGCGGCGTTCATCCCTGGGTGCACAAGAAGCGTTACGCTCAATTCCACCTTTTGATTTGCACATTGTGTTGCACCATGGTTCCTTATGAGGAAATCAAACTGTTCGCTGGATTTCTTTATCAGGTATTGTGCAAAGGTGCCATTGGTTCAGTAAGGACTGTAGTGAGAGCCCTTTAAAAAAGATTTGCATGAATCTAATCCTTCTATTTTTACATAATCATATGAGCRTTTGGGCTGCCTGTGATTATTTTTGCAGAGTCATCACAACTTTTGCCTCACTTGCTCTGGGGAAACAAACAGAAAAATCWGTTTTTAAAATCACAAAATCTGCAGCTTTACACCTGCTTCTGCTTTTTACCTTCCAATAACCTATTGGCTGTATTTTAATGAGAATTAAGGATTTGAATAGAAGAAAYGCAGCTTCAAATAACTCAGTTACTTGAAGTAATGCATTTGCAACAAAACAGGAAACCAGTACAACTGATTTAAAGCTAAAAAGTATATTAAAAAGGCAGAACATATAAGTTTTGAATGTTTATTCATAAGGACTTATTAGATCTTTAAGTGCTTTAGTGATAGTCATATTTGTTGACAGGTTGCAGCTACTATAAATGATCAATTCATCCAATAAACACAAAATCTGATGTGTTTAAATTCTAATGAGTGATCTAAAAYCTGGATTGCTCATTAACTATAGCTGGTTAGAGACTGGCTCAGATTTATCACTTTAAATTTGGCATACTGCAGTGATTTCACAGTTTTGTATTTTTGATTGTGTGTAAATTATTTTCCACAGAAATAAGCAGCTTGTTCACTTGTGAGGTAAATAATTGAACAGGTAGGCGTGTCAAATTCCAACACATGCAGATCCACTGCCCTGACCAACAGAGGGCCTCATGTTTCACAGAGGGCCGCTAATCCCAATCCCATAAAAGCACCCTGAACAATTGATTTGCATACAATAATATAGTATGCATGTGCCACTTGTGTCCATTTACCAATGAGTGGATTATTAACTAGATATTTTATAAATTGCATTGCTGTTACAAGAGCAGATTCAGTAAAATATAAATAAATAAATACATCCGTCGCTGTGTAAACAAAGCCCCTCTCGGTTGGTAGGCCTACAGATTAGGAAACCCAGCTACAAATTAAARCTGTTTTAATGCGACCTGTGTTGCGTTTAAGGTCACCTTGTGCATCTCCACCGCTGGTCAGCACCGCCATGGCCCGACCAGCCCCAGTCATCTTCAGCTTCTCCAAATCCATCGAAGACATCTTGACCCGCTCACCTCACGATAAAAAAAACTGGGTGACAAAAAAAATGTTTATATATATATTTTTTTTCTTTAAATACCGTTAGCTTAAAAAGCACGCTGCAGTCGTTCATGCGTACTGCTCCAGCTGTAGTAGCTTCCTTGTTGGCGGCGGGTTTTAATAGAACCGTGAATCCCCCCAAACAAAACACCTCCGAGCTCTGGCTCCGCCCACTACAACAAAGGGAGTGGATAAAGTGCGTTTATTCTACAACTCGGCTCCGCCCGGAGCAGATTGTTTACTTTTGGTCACCCCGCCTGAACCTCACTCCCATGTACCAGGTCGATGCAACACGAATTAATTTCATCAAATGGGATTACGCTRATCGTATCAAACGAGATACGGGTTTGGAAACTGCCACACCCCCTCAAAACAAAAGACAAATTATTTCTATTTTAAAACGCGACTTTGTGTTGATCAGGTGAGTTTGAGTCCAGTTTCGGCTGCCTGCAGATCTTTATCGAACGTCAGTCAGTGAAGAGGCGGGGTTTAGAAACACCGCAATCTGTTGTAAACGTGACTGAGCGCACAGCAGCAGCTGACGTCTGGGAAATACTGTAGTATTTCTGCAAAATACTATCAAATCACAGCGGAATACTATGGGATTCAAAAGATAATTCCGCACAACACTGTTCATATATATAATTCATTTTCATACATAAAAATCACAGCTTCTCTTTAAAGAAATATTAAAAACAAATTCATAATGTACCTGTTGACTAAAATATTGTACTTTAACTAATATAAACTTCTAATTAACGCAATTGTACATTCTATTGTGTTTTAAATATATTTTAATGTTTTAGAAGTAAGTAAATATTTAACAAGTTATACATAAAAACAGTGAATTTTGTCAAAATTCAATATATTCCACAGAAACACATCACAAGGATAAAAAAGACATAAAGAGTATGTTCTTAGCAATTTTCTTAAATAGTCATAAACTCTTCTTTGATTTTACTAATGATAAAGATGTATGGTACCAGGAGTGGGGTAAGAATAAGAAGCAACACAAATTGGATGCAATGAAACCGCCAAGTCCGTTGAAACTGTGTGTTGAAATGTGTTTGTGTGTATTAGATTTGTTGAGTTCAAAAATGCAAGATTTCATTTCATTTTGCTAAGACTTTTGTTAAGCAGAACAGTGCTAAAGAACATTTTGGTGCAATATTTGACATGTTTAATATTTAGAAAGATTGTTATGATTTATACAAAGTTAGAGTATAATAAGAGTTATGGTTAATGTTAATACTTACCTGTTTGAAAGGGGGATGCAATGATGGTTGCTATTTAAGAAGCTGCCCACAAGGGGGGGCTAGTATCACATATGTAAGTTCAGAAGTGAGAAAGCAGCAGAATAAAAACAGCTGGCTGGAGCACCATCTTTCTCAGTGTTGATAAAGAAACATTACAATAACCATGACCAGAGTTGTAAAGTAACTAAGTACAAGTACTTTGTTACTGTACTTAAGTAGAATTTTTGGGTATCTGTACTTGAGTAATTATTTTTCAGCCTTTTTACTTCTACTTATTACATTTTCACACAGTATCTGTACTTTCTACTCCTTACATTAAAAAAAAGCAAGAAGTAGAAGGTTGTTATTTTTATTTCATTATGTCTTGTTGTTGTTAAAAGTATTATCCTGATAAACTGTACGTGCTGGATAGAATAAATTTAATTGTGGTTGGATGAGAAGTATACATTTAA